GCTAGGACTCCTCCGCAAACTCCTGGAGGGACCCACCGCCCGGCTCGGGGGGGCTGCCGCCGCCTAAATCCTGCCCCTTGCTGCCGCCCGAGGCTGGGACTTCCCGCGGCTCTGGCGCCGCCAGACTTTCTCCCCTCGGCGGATTCGAACACAAAGCGCGAGAGGAGCCGCCGGGCCGGGGGATGGGTGCGAGGCGCTGCAGGCCCCCGCCCGGGGAAATGAGGATGGCGGTGGGAAGGGGCCCGGCTCTGAGTGACGGGGGCGGGGGTGTGCCAGATACAAACCGCTTCACCGAGGGACTTTTCTCCGGGGAGATTCCCCCGCCCATGTCCCCTTTCCCCCTGCTTAGCCCGGCTCGCCCCTCCAGGGGCTCGCCCCGCAGGCAGCGGCCCGCCCGGGAGCAGAGCTCTGTAACACTGAGGACAATGCCCTGGGGAGAGGGGCGGGTAAATAGCCTCCTCCTTTGCCGCCTGACAGGGAAAGACCCAGAGGTTGAAAGTCAGTGCCAGGGTCTGGCTCCCAGACTCCTGCTCAGTCCACTAGGGCGGCTCTGGGGCTGGCCACGACGGCCATCTATCAGTCCAGGAGGGGGAAACTGGACAGGGGGTGACTGTGGGGCCTATTTCTGTTCCCTCTCTGCCGTGTCCAGTGACTCCTCAGGGTGTGGCTACACTGCAATTAGACCCCTGCAGCTGGCCTGTGCCAGCTGCCTGGAGCTCATGGGGCTTGGGCTGAGGGGCAGTTTAGTGGCGGTGTAGAAAGTCCAGCGGGAGCTTGGATCCTCCCACCTTGCCGGGTTCTAGAGCCCAGGCTCCAGCCGGAGCCAGAACCTCGACGCTGCAATTAAACAGCCCCTTAGCCTGAGCCTGGCGACCCCGAGTCAGCTGGCACGGGCCAGCCACAGGTTTTTAATTGCAGAGTAGACATACCCTTAGACACCTGGGAGGAGCCGTGGGCGCTGTCTGGGCTCCTCTGTTCAGTTCCTCTTCTGGTTCCCTGATTTTCAACCGTTGACCTCACTTCCATCCCTATTTTTCCTTCATTGTCCCACACACTCACTCGTAGCCTGCGCTTAGTGGTTCCTCGGGCTTGGCTGAGGGCACGGGCCTTTAATATTGGGTGGACCTAGACCCACCTCTTCCAGATCTGAAACTGATATGGCCTCTCTGAGGAGCAATGCAGTATTTGGACTAAGCTGCTACCAACATAGTGCTCCCACTCCTGCTCACCTGGATGCCAGAGACAGACATCTTTTCTCAAACCCTATTACCCTAATGTGGCAGCAGAACAGCATGAGCGGCTTTGATTATTGTATTAGAAGTGATTGGGTTTATTTAGAAAACTATCCAAATAACTGTGATTTGGATAAAAATTGCTTCTTTTAGCAAACTCACTCCCATGTCATCACTGGTGTCTTCTTGTACTATTGCTAGTTGCTGACACAAATACAAAATAAAGATATTTATAGAATTTCTCAAAGCTAACCCTACAAACTCAAGATATAGTTAAATACAAAACTTCCCCAAACCCCACAAAGATATCAGGTAGAAATTTAGCTAAATATATTAAAAAGCCCAGTGCTGGCCTAGAGACTTCTCACCTAACATTGTACAGATAGGAATTGTGTGCAATAGTGCCTTTAGAAGTGATGGAGGAAAAAAGTACTGGTAAATCCCTACAGAGTGATCTCGTCTCTTTTTATCTGCATAACGGAAACAAAACGGGCCGGAGCAGATTTTCTTCCCACTCCCCTTTCCTTGCCCTTCTAAGACCCCCTGATCTAGAGAACTATTTCTGAATGAGCAGGTAACTCATTCTCCAGCCCTCTTCAATCCTTGGACCCTCTGCTAGACTGGAACTATATCACTTGACACCTAACTCTCATGGCATTTTTGTGAACTGAGCACCTGTCTGGTAAAAACTACTATGACTTGAGACCCACCGACTTATTTTATAGGGGCCATCAAACAGTGAGTAGGTGAAAATCACTTTTTCGCTATTAAAAGAGAATGCTATAGTGGGTAGCAGCATCAGAAACTTTATTATTAGTTGATACTCAGTGTGGACACTCCTAAAAGTCAGTGCATGTTTTTAAAGTTTCCCTTGACATGTGATGATCACATGTCATTCTAGGGGCCACAATATGTGGGATCTGGCAAAAAGTTTAAGCACAGATGTAAGTTTTTCCCATAGATATAAATATTTCAGGGTAGAGAGAATGGTAATACACCTTAATATCCGTAACATGGGGATCAGTTTGTCATGCCCCTGCGCTCCTCTAATAGTTCAGCCCCCCAACAGTGATCATTCCATCTTGGTCTAGTCTGCTAAGCACCAAGCGTGCTCTTGGAAACTATAAGTAACAACTACATGAGGCTAAATTTTGGACTAAAATGACTGTGTAATTGAGCCTGAAAGTGGATGGCAGTTTGGTTTCATAGGGAGATAGGACTAGGAGGGACCTCCTGGGTCATCAGATCCAATCCCCTGCTGTCTCTGGCATCCCCATCATAAAATCCCATCAGAAGTTTATCAAGTTTCTCCTTAAAATGATTTAGGTTGTTTGTCCCCAGAACTTCCAGTGGAAGGCTCTTTTAGAACCTCATTCTTCTTATGCTTAGAAACCTTCTTCTAATTTCCAGTCTAAATGTATTCATGGCCAGTTTATACCCAGGTGTTCTTGTGCCAACATAGTCTTCTAATTTTGTAAGAGAGTTTTTATTTAGATCTAGTATGAGGGGTGGAAGGATTTGATTGTTATTGATAAACATTGATTTCACTGCACACACAAACTGACCAAAAATATTTCCGTCAATAATAATCAAAACTTATAGACAAGCAAAGTAAGGAAAATGCATGTTGAGAACTTCGTAGAGTTTGATTTAAGGATATTTACTTTGCATATTTTGACATGTGCTGTTGACAATTGTATTTTAACAGTTATAAAACTAACTTTTTGAATCTCAAAGTCTACTGTTATTAAATAATTATTGTCTGAACTCTCCCGTAGGAGCCCCCCATAATTTCCCACAACTTTGAAAATTTAAAATTTAAGCATTTTTTTTAAACCCATAGTTTAGCACAACTGCAAACAATTTATAAACATTTAAAATAATTGCTTAAAAATTGATATTATCCATCAAAATTATTTAAAATCAAATTAATTCTGCCAAGCCTATCTATTTTGTATTATTTTCAGCAAAGTTAACTCTAGCCCTGTGTTAGAGCTGTGCTTTGATTTTGAAGTTTCATATAGTTACAACACGCTCCTGTAGAATTACACGTGGAAAGATCAGCAAGTAGCTCAGCGTAGGATTCCATGTTCTGAGCATGGATTTCTTGTTAATCACAGCACCTACCTTAAACTGGAGCACAGATTGCCCACAATGAGAAATACTGATATTTGTGATGAAGCTTTCCAAATATAGATATAAATATGGTCTCTACTATTCCAGGAGGTCTTTATACTTAGTATCCTAATTTGACCTTTCCTGGAACTGGTAACAGCTGCTCTTGACACAAAGTGGCCTGAATAAAGGTAGTTGCTATTTTGAATAGTTTTGCTGTTCTCTGTATAGTTAACACTGCAAAATGTGATTACAGTATATTAGAACAAGAAAAAGGAAGCATAAGCTCATGGTTAAAACAGACACCAGGGTAACAGGAGCTCTGGGTTCCAACATGAAAAAAAAACTCTATATTCTACAGTAGCATACATGGCACCATCACTAATCTAAACTGTACTGTTATGGAACATTGTGATCTTTAAAAAAAAATAGCATGTCCAACTCTGCCACTAACTGACCTCACAAGTGTTGTGAACAGTGTGTTTATACTACACTTTGAGTCTGCTGCCTAGAACTCAGGGGATCTGGCCTCAATTTGTCCCTTTTATATGGACTACTGTTGTGACCTTGAGAAAGGCAACTGAGGCATACAGAGATTAGATGGCTATCTGTGAAAGGGGAGTAATCATTGAGGTTGGCTAGAAGTTCAGAGTATTATTATAAAAGGATAGCTTTAGAGGACAATTGCTAGTGTATTCTGCAAATAGTTTTGGTCAAAGGCTATTGATTGTATATATTACAGCATTAATGTTATGTCATGATCCGGCTTTACTTTAGGAATTAGAACTGGTGGAGGATGTATGGAGAGGGGAAGCACAGGATCTTCTTACCCAAATTGCTCAGCTTCAGGAAGAGAACAAACAGCTGATGACAAACCTGTCGCACAAAGACATCAATTTCACAGAAGAGGAATTTCAGAAACACGAAGGCAAGTTTAACATTTGAAATTCAGTGATAGTATTTTTTTTTAAAGTCATCCCTGATCAAAGTGTCTTGATTGTACATTTCAGCTTGTTCCTGTAGATTGTTGCAGGTCTGTTTTATCAGGATACAAAAGCTGTGAATAAATTCTGGAAACAAAATAAAGACTGGAACAGAGTTATTCACTTGTATGGATGAGAAAATTTAAAAAAAGCAAAACCTAGTTTTCTTTTGGTTTAACATAACATTTTTTGAGGATAGCAACTTGTTAAGAATTTCCTTTAATGACGTTTTTTTAGATATAGATAGATCTAACCACTTAATAATTGGTTTCAGAGTAGAAGCCATGTTAGTCTGTATCCGCAAAAAGAACATCCGAAGAAGTGGGCTGTAGTCCACGAAAGCTTATGCTCTAATAAATTTGTTAGTCTCTAAGGTGCCACAAGTACTCCTGTTCTTTTCACTTAATAATTGTATGCGTATGATAGTGTGGAAATATACAAATCAGCATTCACACTTGGGCATTTAATTCAGCATACTTGATTGTAAAGCAATTATTCAGGCTCCCTTCTGCTGAATTATCAGAATACCAATTAATCCACAACATGCAGCGTTCAGGGGTGGGGGAATTCATATTTTGAAAAATCACCATGTGGTCTCAGATGTCTTGCCAGAATTTCAGAAACCATCTCAATAAAATGCACAAAGAGGGGGAAGTGGTTACAGGAAGGAATTAAACACTAATTCAGGCCTCATAATGAGTTTTATTTTGGGAGTGAGGCTAAATTTATAATCAGGACAGTCCGTAAGCACCAAGGAGAGAGAGCCATAACTTTAAGCACTTGCTTCATCTCAGTTCTCAAGTTCTAAGGCTAGTTGGGAGGTTTTGTCTCTCACAGTATTAAATGGGCAGAAATCTGATTATCTGATCACGGTCCTGAACCACAATCCAATACTGCAATTGGTTCTGTGTGGACAGATTCTGGCGCCCATCTGGAGCCATGCTGACTTCACTGGGTCTCTGCACAGGCACAGACATCCACCTGCAGGATCATAGCCTGTTAGTACAACTGCTCAGATCAAAGATCAGAGTAAACATTCTGCTCATTTAAAAATATTTTTTAAAAGTAACAGTACTTCATCTTGAGACCTTGTAAAGGCCAGGCACTTACTAGTGGCTAATGGCACTTAACCCTTTGCCTCCCCAATGCACCTGCTTCACCAGCATTGAATTCAGCCCTTAGACTTGAGTATCATTGTACTTGATCTGCAGAAAAGTGTTAATGGCATATTACAAAAAAAGGATATCTTACCCTCTCAAGATCGCTGTTTCTTTAAAATAAATGCAGCTCTTCCAATGTAACAGGCTGTATTTGATCTAATTTTTGCAATTTCCTTAGAATTTAATAAACTATTGATTCCATGAAAAGTGTCAGAATATGAAATAAATAAAGATGAGTCACAGACTATAAAAAAATGGAAAACAAAAACATGTCAATGGGTGACCCAGCTCAGTGCAGTTTATATGCTTGTATTTAAATACAGTAATAACTCTTGAATGTAGATAGCCAAGCAGGTGCCAGACATGCTTTTCAAGGTTATTTTTACTTTGTGTGGTAGAGACAGAAAAAACTGCATGAGAACACAAATACTCTAAGTGCCAACATCTCATTTATTTCAGTGAGAGCAGAATTTGACTCAAACTGATATAGATTAACAATGATCCTAACTGGGGAATCCCTTATGTCTGACATGGGAGTTATTGATGCCTATTCCCACTAGAGAATTTTGCTTGTTAACAAACGGGACCAGGATTGAACTGCACATCATGTTAAAGTTTTAATTTGTTCTGGTAGGAAACACTGAAACAGACGCTTGATTTTAAAGGCAACTGATTGACAGAGTAGGGAAAAAAATAACCAGACATACAGTGAGTTGCTGGATGCAGCTTTCCAAGTCCCAAAGCTCAGTTCATGTAGCTGTAATCAGGTTCTAATCTTTACACCCTAGCATGATTTAGTAGGCGTGATCATGTCTCCTAGTGGCTGGTCCCAGGGACTAACAGTCCGCTGCTTAATCAGCAGATAACTACAGAAGTCCTCTCTAGCTCAAGCGGCAGAGGCCTGTGGCTTTGGTGTTAAGAGGTCAGGTTCAGTCCCTGGCAATGACTGTGGTATCTGAATGTACGTAGCCTCGGTTTACTACACTTGGAACTCCTGCACCCCACTGCATTCATATCCCTCCTGAAAACATAAATCTTCTGTGAGGTCTTTCAGTGATAATGAGGGCTTTTGGTTGGTCATATTGAGACCACTGCCCAGTACTGTGTCACTGTTTCCTTGCACTCTTCTGGCTGCATCTGTCTTCTCTTGTCATATATCTAGATGGTAAGCTCTTTGCGGCAGGAACTGACTCTTTGCTTGGTGATTGCACAACCTGTAACACAGGGGTGTCCTGGCCCATGAGCGGATCTCATAGGTGCCACATGAATATCAATAATGGTTATTTGAAGTCACAGTCACTCATGGAAGGAGAGACTAAAAGGGTTAAAATTACATATTTATAGTAAATAAAATTGGCAAGAGTGACAGCTCACAGTACTGTCATCAAAATCTGCATTTCCTTTGCAATAACAATGGCTTAAAGCCACTTTATAGTAGTCCTGAACCCCTCTCCTGACAAGCAGGGTTCATCTCTGCAGCAGCTGTGAAGGGGGACAGGCAGGAGAGAGGCTGCCATCCCTTCTCCAATGCTGCTTTCCTATTTCTGAGCCTGATTCTGCACCATGGAAGTCAATGGGATTTTTGCCAGGGATTTCAGTGTGAAGAGGATCAAACTCCCTCTCTCAGCAAAGGCAGCAGGAACTGCAGTGGGTCTCAACCTAGCTGTCTGAGCTTTGCTACCCTCCAAACCCAGAGAAATCACAGAATTTGATTCCCCACCCCTGGGACGACATGAGAAATGATGAGCCCTAATTCTGAGCATTCCTGATGCATCTCAGTCTCCCACACAGCTCAGGTTTTATACAGGCAGCTTTCAAGTTTCTCAGGGAAATTGGTTCAAGTTGTCGTCAACTGTCACAGCACCTGCAGAACTCCCATTGTCTCAGCATCATGGATATTCTAGGAAAATCACAGAATCCATGACAAATGCAGTATTAATAATAACCCACCCCCACGTACTGAGTGTATTTAAAGGAAATATTCAGCAGCAACAGAAAGGTAGATGTGAACCTATGTATCATATATGTATATGAATGTTTAGTACTCTGCATCTATATAGACTGGGGTCCTTTGGAGCAAGGACTTCTGTACTTTGAATAAACACACTGTGAGTGCTCAAACAATTACAGGGAAACCTAGTGAAATACTTCTAGTGGCCTTGTTCCATAAGGCAGCTCTTTTATCTTGAAGAATGGCCTGTAGCAACTCATCCTTAAAGTATGCAGGACAGAACAGCAGTAAGCGTGAGCCCCTGGTCTTTGGGAGTTTGAGCAGAGGCCTGCAAGAAGCAGAGCAAGGTTAATATGAAAATTGTGTGGCAGAAAACAGAATTCTAAGTAAATACAGCAGGATCTTGGGCTGCAGCTGCAATGTTAGAAATGTGACTCCTACTCATGAGACCAAATTAATACCTGGCATAACGCCAGTGACTGAACAGACTATATCCCTGGTGTAACCCCCACTGGTCCAAGGTCAGACCTTGGATCTGGCCCAGGGCACGTCAGAGAGGGCATACAGATATACTGCTCCGCTTATAGAGCAGCACAGATGCCATGACAGGAGGTCACACATCCTGCCAGCTCAGATAGGATCAGCGTTGTGATGGGTACAATAAGCAGGAGATCTCAACAAACAAGAATCACAAAACCTCTCAAGTATGTGTTCTAAAGACACTCAGTTACTCTCCACTTCTCATCAGATCCTGAAATCAGACTTGAGTGGGGATTTGGTTTGGTTTGGTTCCCAGTTACTCAGGCCAGTTTCAGGTAAGAGACAATCTACAGTCTTAAAAAAAGCATTACTGTGTCAAGTTAATTCTTCTGCTTAGAGATATGGCCTAAGGGCCAAATCCTGGAATGTGCAGAGCAACCTCAGCTCAGTCTAGTAAGGCAATAGGAGTTGTGGGCTGCCCCGGAGCTCACAGGATCAGAACCCACGATCACCAGGAAGGAGATGAGATTTTGCGTTTGCTTATCCTGGAACCTGTCCTACCCCATATTTGGATCTTTAATCTGACTTCAAGCATCGTATTGTAACATCAGACAACTCCTTCTTGGAGACTGTAGCCTGCACTTGCATGGAGACATCCTCAATGATCTCATAAGCCTTGTCCTACATCTTTAATTTCCATGATCCTTAATCCCTTTGATGAAAACTCAGACAGGGCC